CCGATTAACGTTGAGAAAGATCTGTCTTGCTTTAATATTAGGCTGTGGGGGAGGCTCGTCCGTCCGTTCCGTCCGCCGTTCCATGCCAAGCCCGGTGGCAGTCCCCTGTCATCGCTCTGCTGGAGTTGTAAACATTTACAGCCTTCGCGCCGCGCCCTGCGCCGGGTCATAATGAGCCGGCCGACCCCCACTTGAAACTCTTGAGGAACGCAGCGCTACTCCTCGCGCCCCAACCCCACCCTCTTAGAGCTCAATCGGTACCAGGCGCCACATGGCCTGTCCACTTGACATGTGATCCCCAGTCTCAAATTTTTAATTTAAACCACTTCGCTCTGAAATATGAAATGTGCTTGTTTGCGCGCACGCAGAAATTACGAATTCAGCAAAATTTGAATGGGGATTCTAGCATAATTTGCTGATTTTCGTTGCTTTTGATTTTAACCACAGCTTTCTGAAACATGAAAAAGCGCTTGTTTTCAGCACAGTAAAATTAAAATTACGAAGTAGGCAAAATTTGAAATTTGTTTCCTGCATCATTTTCTGTCTTTTGTTGGGTGAATTCATCTATTAGACAGTCCCAGGTGAAAGTATCCCGTTTTGATAAAGGTTGCCGTTGCCGATATTGCCGATTAACGTTCTAGTTTTGGTTAGCAGATTTTCAGTCTTATTTTGATACCTTATTGATTGAATTTAAAGATACAAGCCTTAGCGCCTGTATATTTTGAATTTGCTTTTGGAGCTGGACTGTCTCGTTACCGGCCGGCAGGCCAGTTTTTTTATATTAATCGCAAGGGATGGTGCTTGGTGGTTTCCGGTATACTTAAATGTTTTGTTGTAGGAGGTGAGTGTGCTCCAGTAGCTCCATTGTTACACACACAAGTGGTAAGTTATTTTCGAGGCAGAGTAAATTATGCGCGTTCTGTAAACTATGCTCACTGTAAGCTTTGTCGAAAAGGTGTTAAATGGGTACACGTGCAGTGTGCGAAATACTAGTTGTTTCGCAAATGGGTGAACTGTGGTTGGGGTGCGGGCTTTCACAGTCAAGTGAGGGTTTTAGCTAGCTATTAGTGTAATCCCTTAAACAACAAACAATAATCAATGTGCGTTGCAGCTTATTTGAAGCTGTCCATGTTGTCATAATAATTGTGGAAAAGGTATCTGGAAGATGTGCAGAGGGATATGTTACGTTCATCAATGCTTGAGTCGCCAGTGCCAAATAAGTTATTTGAAAGACCATGGTCATTTAGAGTACGGGGCGAGAGGCATTTCAAAGTATGTTGTATGAGTAAATTATATGTAATTAATTGTTGACGATTGTTGAGTATTAAATGAAAGCAAGCAATCAATAAAAAATAGCGCTGAAAGTACTGTTTAATATGATTGCAGGGACACAGCCTGGAAATGTTCTTGACATGAGCGAAGAAGTCTATGGAGTCATTTATTTACCTGCTAGAATAGGTGAGTTGGCCTGGCAAGTAACCAGCGCTGGATCAATTTGTCTCTGTACAGACTCTATGAGAAGCTTCCTTTGGTGTGCATCAAAGGCCAGTTTCTGATAGTTTTTATGGTGCCTTGGTTTTTCCCTGGTGATTTCAATCCTTCCCCATCAAAAATCAGGCTTGAAATTTGTTATCGTTAAAAATGTCTTTTAAAAATTTTAACAATTTGGAAAATAGCTGAAATGGGTCGTCAGGCAGACTCCCCTTTCACTTGCTCTGTCTAATAACATGGTGCCGACCCACTACAGCAGATTTTTTAGATATTGCACCGTAGGGTAGGCAATCCGCATTTAGTTTCTAGAGACCACATCTTAAGACTAAAAAGTTTCTGTGGACAGGGGTAGTTTCTGACCCACCCAAATTTAGTTTTATGGTCCCACTCGTTCACCCCTATCGATTCGGATTTCTGCTCCGTCGAAATCTAGGACCCATCAATTTTCACTATAAAAACAAAAGTGTAAATTTGGCCAAAAATGAAAAATTTGAAAATCGCTGGAAATGGTTGGGATTGGCCCTACAGCATCCTCTTTCAATCTCACCACAAAACTACTAGATTCGAACCAGCGACTGTTTGCGTACCGGCCCATCACATCAGGTGTCGCACGGCTCTAAAGTCATGGACAGCGGAGCGCGAAAATTAACCCCAGTGAGAAATGCATGTCGAAACGATGTCGTTTCGACGTCGATTCGACCAGTTTTCCATCGTTTCGATGTCGTTTCGACGTCGATTCGACTTGTCATTTCTCACTGGGAACACCCGGCCGAGATTCGAACTAGTGACCAGGTTCATACCGGGCCCGGACGCTACCGACTTGGCCACGACGGAACGATTCAGAGTACCACTTTCAGCGGCATCTTGATCTAAGCTGTGACCGACGCCCGAAGTCACTTGGCAATCAGTTCATAAGCTATCCCTTCGGTGTGGGGGGGGGGAACCATCGTTACTTTGGCGGTATCGTACTGTGTATTGGCGATGTTCGCGCTGTTCTCGAGTTTGCTCGACCCATGACTTCATTATTTTTTGTCGGCTAGACTAGGTGTTGCCGATAATAGTGTTACGCCCGGAGATTGACCATCCCTAAACAAAAAGCACACGCCACTAGGCCACCATGTTGTGTTTTGCCGGGAGTGGAAGCGCGTGATCATCGGCTCAAAGTAATCCTAGTTTTGTAAAATTTGTTAGACAACTGGGATGGACCGGGGGGGGGGCGGGGGACCCGGAGGTCCGATTTTAGCAGTGCGAAAACCGAGAAAATAGACGAAAGGTGTACTGGGTGTGCTGTTTTCTCCATTCTTGAACATCGTTTTCTTCCCCCGTAACAATTTACCTGCAATAGTATTTTGGATACTTTCACCCTCAAAAAACTAATTGGTTACGTACCCTGGTGAGGATTAAGACAAGTCGGGGACATCACTTTCTGTAATTCTTTGTCCTCGAGCGTCCCACGTCTTTCCCGATGTGTCCCTGACATTACGGCAATATCCCTAAATGGTCCCGGACCATCCTTAACTCTTCCAATGTCCTTAATGACACCTTCAGGCAGCCGCCTTGCGCTGTCCCGATCTGTCCCTGCCCCTCTGACTTCCTTTCCCGTCCCCGCCGACGCTACCCTGCGCTGTCCCGATCTGTCCCTGCCCCTCTGACATCCTTTCCCGTCCCC